TTATGTATATTATTTTTTATTAATATTTATATTTTTTCATTGAGTAGTTATTTTACTTTATTTTAAATACTTTTTATTATGTTGAAATCAAGCAACCATTATCAATTTAAATATACAAAATTATATATAATTATTTTTTAGCAATTTCTTGAATAATTGATAATTTATTTTTCGTAATACTTTTCCTAGCGGCTTTTCTCCCATTAATCAAAACGAAAAATTACTACAACAACAACTGAAAAGTTATCGCTGGACTTCCGCTGCACGGTTGGCGCTTTGAATGGGGACATTGAACTTCCTCAATTCCGAGCAGCTTGAGGCATTCCATAGCACAGCATTGATGCAAAAGGAAACTGCTGCAAGCACGTAACATTAAACAGGCAACAGTCACAACATAAGTTTATATATGTATATACTTGTGTAAATTTTTTTAAAGCTCTTCAACTTGGCACCGCAACAATGCAGCGAAATATGAAACCAGCACGCGATGTAAAAAATAAACAGAAATTGAAATCCGGCAAAGCTTTAAATATATTTAAAGCATTTCTAGAATATGTATTGGAAATGAAAAATTCTCTTTTATATTTCACTTTCTCTTTGTCTGGCATATCAAAAGCCAAGAGCTGTTCGGTCAATGGTTCTCAATGGCTGCTTCAAGTCTCGCATTTTCTCATTCATATTGCAATCAATTAATTAAATTGAGTTTTGCTCTTGCTGCAATTTGCAATTATACAAAAAGGTATTCATGAACAGTAGCAACAGCAGCAGAAGCAGCACCAAACTACAAATCAATCAAAAATTCTTGGTATTTGCATTTCGAATTCGTGAATTACACTTGGCATTGGGGAAAGCTTTGAATACTTGCCATAAAATATGTAAGACATTGCCTTCTACGTCCAAACATTTGATTAGAAACCATGAATTGAGATAAAATACCCTCACATAAGTGATGCTTTGAAGAAGATATAGGTATATGTATGTATATGTACGTAGTCTTTAAATAAATGTAATTATCTTTTTTCGTATAAATACTAAGAAAAGAACCAATTTAAAAACCTTTTGATAAAATAAACATTTTTTGTATATACATGAAATTACCAAAAAACTACAAATTTGTTTATGAAAACATGTGTTATATTTTTAAAATATTTATTTTCTTAAATAAATCGTATTTCAGTATTAAACTTACGTCCATTCGTACGTCCATTCATTTATCATTTCTATCAATGCATTTTAAATATCTCAAATTGGAATTCATTTTGCCAGCATTTAAGTAATTTAACTTTTCTATTTAGGCTGCTGCAATCAAATCGAATTAGATGTGCTTAAATTGCTCAGATCATTTGAAAGTTGTTTGGGCAGCCTAGCGGCATGAGCCTTTTCGGATTTTGTCATAAATCATTAAGCTAATTAATTTAAATACATGTGCCAAATTAGAAGCGTGTAACGGCTAACAGCTGTTCCACCTACACACGCATAAATCTCGAAAGCAATTTGTCCTTAAAGTGTCATAAAATGCATGCAGTTCCAGCTAGTTAGCAAGAGCAGAAGTGAACTTCAAGTAAAAGTTTATAATTAAAACTTTACGCACGTTTTGTCTAAGTAAATACAACACACACACGCACACACAAAACAGATAGGGGGCGAGAGCGAGAGCGAGAGAGAGAGAGAGAGAGAGAGAGAGAGAGAGAGAGAGAGAGAGAGAGTTACCGA